TGTCTGCCTCACTGTCTGCTTCAGGAAAGGGAGATCAGTGGTCAGATGGGGCAGGGAGGCTGCACCCCAGTCCCTTGCACCGTGTTTCAGTACTTGGCCATAAACTTGGCTAACTGTGATTTTCTTTTATTTTATTTTACTACATCTTATTTTAAATAAGAGAAATCAAACTGTAGAAATAAAATTGAACTCTCCTTCATTCTCTATGTTCAGATTTCCTCCCCTCACCCCCTCCAATTCTCCCCTGTTCCTTGCACAGCTACCATCTTGAATTTGGGTGTATTTTTCCAGTTCATTTCCTGAAAGACATTGACATAGATTTGTATGCATAAATGACATAAAATGTTGTTTTATTAATATGTTTCTAGTTTCTATAGTAGGATCACACTGTACCTGTGCTACAACTTGCTGTTGGCATAGTTTATCTTAATATGAAAATGTGATACAGATCTAAGATATCTAACTCCTAAGTAAGTTATGAAACCTAGTAATAAAGCAAATAACTCCTGAATCCACCACACATCCTGAGAAGCAGAACATCCCCAGAACCATTGAAGCTCCTGTGTGCTACTTCTCCACTCTACCCAGGAGACTCCTCTCTGGAACTTTTTGTATATGTCCCTCCATAATTTATTTTCCTGTTTGCTTTTAAACTTTGTAGAAATAGTGTCATACCATATATATTCCTTTTAGACTTGCTTTTTTATCCAATATGCTGTTTCTAAGATTTATCAATGTTAGTCTATATATTTTCACTGCTGTGTAGTATTCCTTTGGGTGAATGTATCCATTTTTCTGTCACTGAACATCTGTGTTGTTTCTAATGTTGCTATTACAAATAGCGCATCCATGAACATTCTTGTACATGTCTTCTGGTGCATGGGTAAAAGTTTTTCTGGGGTGTGTACCTAGGAGTGAAACTGCTGTGTTGTAATATAGAACTGTCTATATCCAACTGAACTAGGGAAGTCCACGTCCTCATTCAGAGTGATTGGCACGCTTATCAACAATGGATAGTTCTTGTTTTTCCACATCTTCATCAACACTAGGTTTTGTCAGGCATTTATTTTTGCCTATATATTTTGTGAAATAATATTAAATTGTAATTTTGTTTCCTTTCTCTTATTTTAATGAGATTGAGCATTTTTCATATGATGATGGCCATTCGTGTTTCCTCTTTTTTCCCTTCTAATGGATCGTTAGTCTTTTCCTTATTGATTGATAGGAATTTGTATATTACGGACACTAGAATTTTGTCAGTTTTGTATGATCCAAATATCTTTTCTCAGTTTATGGCTTGCCTTGTCACCCTCTTTAGTCAAACTCCAAAACTTTTGATTTTTGCACTGAAGTGTGTAATCCATCTGCAACAGAGTCTTACATATTTATTGAGGTAGAAATCAAATTTCTGTTGCCCAAAGACAGAACTGTTTTCTTAGCCCCATCAGTTCTGACATATATCAGATTTTCATATGTGTGTAGAAAAGTTTCAGGAGCTTCTTGGAGCTCCCAAACGCCTTCTAGAATCAACGTGTCAAGTTTCGTTTTTTAAAAAACTGTTGGACTATGGATTAGAATTGCATTGGATCAGGGAGAAATTGACATACCCAGGATCCTGGGTCTTCCTACCTATAAACTTGGTGTCTTCATCTATTGATATTTAATTTTCTTGAGTGTATTTCAATATGTTTTATAATTTTCTCCATAAAAATCTTACATATTTTAATGAAATTTATTCATAAGTTTCTTATATTTTTAATACTATTTATAAAAGGTATCTTAAAATAATTTTTTTTTTTTTTTCGGTACGCGGGCCTCTCACTGCTGTGGCCTCTCCTGTTGCGGAGCACAGACTCCGGTCACGCAGGCTCAGCAACCATGGCTCACGGGCCCAGCCGCTCCACGGCCCGTGGGATCCTCCTGGACCGGGGCACGAACCCGTGTCCCCTGCATCAGCAGGCAGACTCTCAACCACTGCGCCACCAGGGAAGCCCTAAAATGCATTTTCTAATTTTGCTGGTGTGTTGAATGCAGTTGATTTTGCCTGTTGATCTTACATCCAGCTACTTTGCTAAACTTTTATTAAATTTAATAAATTGTGTGTCGATTTGGGGAGGTTTTTTCTGTGTACATAAATACTGCAAATGCCAACAGCTTTATTTCTTCCATCCCAATCCATAAATCTTTTGGGTTTTTTCCTGTGCCCTTTCATACCTTGATGAACATGAGCTCTAATACGGTAATGATTAGAAATGGATATAGTGGGCATCCTTGTCATGTTCCTCAGTTTTTAAAGGGTGTGCTTTAATATTTTACCGTTGAATATATAGTTGCTATGAGGTTTTTGGTATATGCTTTTTATCAGGTTAAAGATGTTTCTTACTATTCTAATTTTGCTAGGAGTTTTTATCTTAAATAGCTATCATTTTTAATAAAAAAGCACCTATGGGGTGCTTTTTCTGCACCTCTTAGAGATTATCATTTTCTTCTACTTTAATGTGTTATAAGGTAAATTACAATAATAATTTTCTATTATTAAACTATCCTTGCATTCCCAGAATAATCCGAACTTGGTTATGATGAATGCTTTTTTGGATTTTGGGTTTTTGTGGGGGGTTTTTTGGTGTCACCATACGAAAATGTTCCATAATTATTGACTGTATACTTCATACCTGTGACTCATTTATTTTGTAACTGCAAGTTTGTACCTCTTAATCTCCGTCACCTGTTTCTCTCATCCGCCAACCTCTCCTCCCCTCTGGCAGCCACCTGTTTGTTCTCTGTATCTGAGTCTGTTCTGTTTTCTTACATGTATTCTTTTGTTTTTTAGATTCCACATGTAAGTGAAATGATGTGGCATTTGCCTTTCTCTGTCTGACTTATTTCACTTAGCATAATACCCTCAAGGTCCATCCATGTTGTCCCAAATGGCAAGATATCATACTTTTATGGCTCAGTAATATTCCATTGTGTGTATATGTATGTACCACATCTTCTTCATCCATTCATCTATCGATGGTACTTAGGTTGCATTTTTGTATTTTGGCTAGTGTAACTGATGCTGCAGTGAACACTGGGATGCATATATCTTTTCAGTTACTTTTCAAATTACTGTTTTAATTTCTTCAGATAAATACCCAGAAGCAGAATTACTGGACTGTATGGTAGTTCTATTTTTACTTTTTTGAGTAATCTCCGTACTGTTTTCCATAGTGGCTGTACCAATTTACATTCTCACCAACAGTACACAAGGCTTCCCCTTTTGTTCACATCCTCGTCAACACTTGTTAATTGTTGTCTTTTCGATGATAGCCATTCTGACAGGTGTGAGGTGATATCTCATTGTGGTTTTGATTTGCATTTCATGATTAGTGATGTTGAGCGTCTTTTCATGTGCTTGTTGGCCATCTGTATGTCTTCTTTGGAGAAATATCTGTTCAGGTCCTCTGCCCATTTTTTAATAGGTTGTATGTTTTTTGATGTTGAGTTGTATGGGTTCTTTGTATACCTTGGGTATTAACCCCTTATTGAACGTATCATTTACAAATATCTTCTCCCATTCAGTAGGCTGCCTTTTCATTTTGATGATAGTTTCCTTCACTGTGCAAAGGCTTTTTAGTTTGATGGAGTCCCATTTGTTCATTTTTGCTTTTGTTTCCCTAGCCTGAGGAGACATATACCAAAAATATTGCTAAGATGTCAATCTTAGATGTCAAAGAGCGTACTGCCTTTGTTTTCTTCTAGGATTTTTATGGTTTTAGATCTTACATTTAAGTCTTTAATCCATTGTGAGTTTAATCATGTATATGGTGTGAGAAAGTAGTCCAGTTTGATTCCTTTGCATGTAGCTGTCCAGTTTTCCCAGCACCATTTATTGAAGAGGCTGTCTTTTCCCTATTGTATATTTTTCCTCCTTTGTCACAGATAAGATGCATGCTTTTCTGATATACGGCTCAACAATGAATTTTTTTGTAGATATGAACTAATTTCAAAATAAGAAAGAAGAGAAATCTTTGTTGGCAATAAAATCTTCTCAAGCACTTTAACAGGGTTTCCCACTTTGCTACAGGGTGTGAGGGGAATTTCTGGCTGTTAGATGTACATATTAGCTTGATGGGGCAAGAGGAACACTGGAGCTAAACTATAATCTCACTTTGCCTTCTGTTACCCTGGGAGAATTAACACAGTTAAGTTGACTTGTGTGGGCCTTATTTTCCTCAGTGAGTTTCTCTGCTACTGGGGGACGTATGTTTGCTGCTAGTAGCCATGTGGCTTCCCCTTGCTTCACTGTTAACCCAGCATCATCATCCAATAAACATTTACTTACTAGGCACTGAGGACAAGGCAAAATCTGTTCCTCAAAGAACTTCCAGGGAGGGATGGAAAAAGCAAACAGTTACACAACACAGGTATAAAACAAAAGGATGCATCTTATCTTCTATAGACCACACTAGTTGGAGGGTGTGGGCGTTGGCCAGGAATCTTTGGATAGAGAGAGAAAAGAAGATTCAGATGGGAATGATACTTGAGCTGAGTCTTATCAATGATGAACATTTACTGATCTCCATGAACCTCTTTTGTGTTCTTAGTTAACAAAGGATTAGGGTATTTTCTTTCTCCAGTGTCCCTTGTAGCTTTGAAAATTTATCTTTTTGACACTGTATCACCCTTTTCAGGATCCCAGAAATAGTTTTATGCTTTATCAAACATTTGTGCTCCTACCTCTGGTCTATGGTCCTTGGAATCTTTAGTTTCATAAGCTTAGGGTTATGAATGGCAAAACAGAATCTTCTTGGTTCTGTTTTATTTAGTAATACCAACATATTCCATTTATAGAATCCTGATGATGTTGACAAGTGACTCCTTATGTAGAATTAATCTATTAACTTCGGTGTGTTTTTATGGAATGGCTCAATTTATTGTTACCGTAAATAGATATTTTTTAAATTCCAAGCTTTATATGATCTCTAAGCACATTTTATTTGTATGTCTTATTTCAGTGCTGGACCCAAAGGAGACAACATTTATGAATGGAGGTCAACTATATTGGGACCCCCAGGATCTGTCTATGAAGGAGGGGTGTTCTTTCTTGACATTACCTTTTCACCAGACTATCCGTTTAAACCCCCCAAGGTCAGTATGAAATATTCATCCATTTTTAGCAATGTGTTCTGTTGCCTATATATATATATATATATATATATATACATGTGTGTGTGTATATATATATATACATATTCTTCAGTGTACATACCTAGGAATTCATGTCTGTTCTCTTAGCATAGGCAACGTCCCAGGGCTGATTGTATGTAAATGGAAGCAGAATGTGAAAAATTGTTTATTCCCTCACCCCAGCCCTTTACGCATACTTCGTTGCTTTTTTTCATCCTTCCTCATGTCGCCTTTCTGTGGTACATGTTTGAGTGTAACATAAGACAGCATGTTATGGGTGGAAGTAGGGGCAGAGGGTGGGCTGGTGCCAGCCCTAGAGCCAGGGGAACCAGGCCTGACCTGGGGGCGAGGGAGCCCACCACGGCCAGGCTTCCGGCTCCAGCTGCCCATGTGAGTTCCACATGCACTAGAGCGGAGAGTGTGACCCACAGAGACTGAGAAATCATGTCAGGAAAATGCAATAAAGAAGAATTTATAATAGTCCATTAATTAAAATGATGGATTAATGGAAAGCCACACATAAATGACTGAAGAAAGTGTAAGAGCAGTGTCATCAGAACATGGGCGAATTTTCACTTACTTAAGACAAGATTATATCCTTTAAGAATTCTTCACATAACTATCTACTGCCTGTAAGTCGGTCATTTGATGACTTTAAATTCATTCTCTTTTTTAATTTTCAATTTATATTGGAGCATTTTTGATTAACAATGTTGCATTAGTTTCAGGTGTACAGCAAAGTGATTCAGTTATACAGATGCATGTACCTATTCTTCAAATTCTTTTCCCATTTCGGTTATTAGAGAATATTGAGCAGAGTTCCCTGTGCTCTACAGTAGGTCCTTGTTGGTTATCTGTTCTAAATATAGCAGTCATTCTCCACTTTGGAAAGGAAAAGACCCAGAGGGCGTTGACTCTGTCTGTTGGCCACCAAGCAGAATTCTTATTTCATCTGGCTTGACTTCTCAATGTAGAGGGAAGTAAAACCTATTTGAGTTGTCGGTTGGAGTGCACAATTTAAAAAGCAAGACTCAGACTAGACCTTCACCTTCCTGTGATCCCCCTCCCTGGCTCCTACCTCCCCTCTTTTATTTTCCTCTCTCTTCCTTTCTTCCTTCCCTTCCATTGAGGTTTGGATCTTGTTTTGATATCAAAGCAAAAAGTAATAACTACTGGGCTTCCCTGGTGGCGCAGTGGTTGAGAGTCCGCCTGCCGATGCAGGGGACACAGGTTCGTGCCCCGGTCCGGGAAGATCCCACATGCCGCGGAGCGGCTGGGCCCGTGAGCCGTGGCCACTGAGCCTGCATGTCCGGAGCCTGCGCTCCGCAACGGGAGAGGCCACAACGGTGAGAGGCCCGCGTACCGCAAAAAAAAAAAAAAAAGTAATAACTATCATTTTACCAAATAGGAAACCCATGCACAGAGAAACTAAGTAACTACCCAGCATAATCCGAATGATATCAGGATTGAACCCAGGAAGTCTGGCTCCAAAACCTGTGTTCCTTACTACATTGCACAGTACATTTTATCCAAGATGACAGAGCTGGTGGCACTGGGACCCCCCAGGGCTGTATTTGGTCGGTTTTTAGTGATGAAGCCCCAGTATTACTAATCTTTATTTTCTCCTTTTACTGGGTGGGAACCTTACGTCTTCCCTTCTACTTTGGACCAGCCCATAAGTCATCTGGTTTTACCTGTTGCACTGCCGGTGACGTGAGGACCTTTCTCTGCAGCCCCATCAGTTACGGAAGCACAGGTGGTGAGAAGGAGGGAAAACTCAGGTCAGGCAGTTGTGCTGCTTATAAGCCTGGTATGGTCTGTTCTATGGAACATACATCTCACAAAATGCGTGGGCTTCTCCAGCTTCTGCATGACAGAAATGTGTAGATTAAACAAACCAGGAGGGAAAACGGATTCATAGGTTAGATAAAATAATTCCGTTTCTGAAAAGGCCTCCTTGATGGACTTGAAGCATCGGCCAAAACTAACAAGGTGGAGTGTAAACGGCTCAAGGTATACTGTTTCATTGAAAATTCAGAAAGAAATCACGATACAAGATGGGAAAGAGAGACTTGCTTTATTTTCATATAAATAAAATGTGTGGCCTTCTGACTGAGTACAATTCTGTGGGAACTTGAAGTTCTTGAAGCCTTAAGGAGATATTTTTAGGAGCACAATCTCTGGAACTCTGAGCCCATCGGATGGTATCAGGAGTGCCTCTTTGCCTTCTGAGCTCTTCATTTTCAGAAGGACAAACAGGAATAAGCTGGGGAGGGAAAGAACTATTAGCATTCTTGAGTTTCTTCACTGGATTGGGCGTCCGCTGTGTGAACCCGTCTCTCCTCCAAAACACCCTAGTAAGGCTGGGATGTTCCCTTTCACAGAGAAGGGGCCTTAGATGAGGTTTGGAGAGGTTTTCTAATAATATACAGCCAGGGATCTACTGAACTTGGCCTCCAGGGACCATGTACTTCCCACTGAATTATACATAGTTAGCCTGGAGATGTTTACTAGGAAAAATAGGACCTAGGAGGAACGTGATAGCTGTTTTCTGATGTTTCAGAAACTGTGTGGGGTTAGACTTGCTCCTGGATGGCTGAATGGGACAAAAATAGAAGCAGAAGGGTGTCAGTTACAGGGAAGCAGATTTCGATTCCACGTGAGGAAAATCTGACCCATCGCGGACAGTCTGTGTTTGAATAGCTTTGCCTCTGAGACCAGGCTTCCCTTTCCTGGGAGTGTTCAAAGAAAAAAGCTGAATTAGAACGTCTCAAGAGTACTGCCAGAAAAAAAACTAAATCCCTCCAGTGGATAAATTTGATTAGACAATCTATTAGGACAAAGAAAAATCAAACTTTGGTACTCAAATTATCATTTAAATGCACATTTATTAGAAACCCATGGGAAGTTTTCAAAGCAAATTATCACCACCTACTTTATCAGTTTTGGAAATTGGATTTGGTAAACAGAGGTGTTACTCTAAAGGGGAAAGTTTGCGAGTGTCTTGAAAGCTGTTCACTAAAACAAAGACGTACTAATAATTTGGAAGTACCATGCCCATCCTTTCTAGTCTCCTGTTACTCTAAATAGTCCATATTTGTGATTAAGTTTTGTTTATTTCTCTGTTTCCTTCATCCTTTGCTCTTCTTCCAATAACCTTAGGCACACACTTTGACTCATGCAGCACTTTCCGGTGCTCTGAAGAATGAACCAGGGTAGCTGTAGGTGTCAGAGGGAATCGTTGATGAGAGCAGAGGTTCACAAATCAACCTGATTGGCCACTAATCGTTATCAAATATCCACCATAAAATGAGTCTGTTGTGCCGTTGAATCCACGAGATCCCTTTTCCCAAACTCGCAGACTGGGAATCCTTACTGAGAACTTTTAACTACTGTCGTGCTCAAATCTGTCACTTAAAGGGCAGTGGAGTGGTTTGGATGCCTCTCCTTGCCGCAGGGACTTTCTGAATATCCCACACTCCAGCACCTAATTTTTCACACTTTCAGAGGAACCATTCCAATAATTCCTTCCAGAACTCACCTAACTTCTAACAAGGCAAGCAAAACACATTTTTCACACAGTATGTAATGTTCATTACACTTAGTATGCTAGTTTTAAATCAGTCAAGTACTAGTTGTACTTTCCAATGCTGTATCTCAGTATGATTTTTAGTCCACTGATTTTTTTATCTAATCAATATGTTTATTGCCTCTTCTACTAAATGCACGGTATGTCTGTTGGTATGATACTGGTAGTTGTCTCTGATGCCAAGTCTTTAGTTGAATACTTAACCACCAGTGATGTCATTTCTCTGAGAAAATATCCGTTTAGTGAAACTTTATCCAGGAATAATATATATATGGCCAGAAAGAAAAGCATAATACTCCCATGACATTGTCTGTGGAGCCTTTAACCATACTCAAATACTTAAAATATTTTTGATCAAAAAAAAAGAAAGAAAAGCATAATAAATCACTGGTATGTCCCAGAGTCCTTTAATACTGTATTTCTTTTTCGGTGTAGACATACATTTTAATGTTATAATTCAGATGTCTATTTATTTGTAAAGTAGGAGTTGTTTTATATCTTATTGGGTATTACATTTGCACACTCATATCATAGATAATTACTCCTGTGCTCAAAACCAGCACTTTTTAAATAGTCTAATGTGTAAATATTTTTCATGTGTACTTGAAAAATTCAGAAGCAAAATAATGGAATATGTTTTATTCCTATAGTATTTTTTTTTCTGCTGAAAACGCTTTGAAAAGATTGTGACACACTGTGTCTGGTATTTCGTATCTTAGAGATTCTGATGACACACATCCTAAGGATAAGGGGTCTTGTTAGGTAACAGGTCAGAGCTGTGTTTTTGTGGTAGAAATACATAGACATAGCCTATTCATAATTGGCTTTTTCTGTCTCCCTGTGGATCTGGGTATTTTATAAAATAAATAAATAAGTGGGCCTTCTACGTAGATCTAAGAGTGGGTCGGTAGAAGGATCAAACGTGCTTGTTGTTTATTTTTAGTATCTCGGGCCACCTACACCCCAGTGAGATGCACTATATTGATGCTCATACCTGTTACTGGAAAGCATTGTTTTCGTGGTAATGGCAGGACAGTATCTGCCAGTAGGTATTTTCCAAAAAGGAATGATAAAATTTGTGCCTAGGATGTTTAAAAAAATAAACAGAAAACCCACAGGCATACATATTTGTTAGAGGAAAAAAGCATGTTAGTATTAGCAGTCTCTAAAAGCTTTTTAGAGTGCGTTCCTCCGTTACAAATTGCATCAAATACAATTGAAAATAAATCTTAACTTAGAGATCATTTCAGAGTGTACTGTATGCTTTATGGTTTGGTTTTGTTTTTTTATGAAATTAACTGTGGTTTGCTTACTAATGAAAAGTCAGTTAATAGGAGAGGTATTAATTGCTTTCACAGAATGAAATAGATAA